GCGCCCGCCGAGCCCCCCCCGGGCCCGTGGCAGTACTGGGCGTGCAGCGCCTGCAGCTTGGAGGGAGCCTCGGGGGGCGCGGCGGGCGGCGGGTGGTGGTGGTGGTGCGATGAAGACGCCGAGGATGAGGAGGCCGAGGCCGAGGTGGGACCCCCCGCGCCGGGGGGGGGCCCGGGGGGGCCTTTCCCGCGGCGGCTGCCGAACAGGGAGCCCAGGAAGGACGAGGAGTTGGAGACCGGCCGCGCCGGGGGTTTGTAGGCGCCGTCGGGGGCGCCCCCCGGGCCCCCCCGCGCCTGCGGCCGGGGGCTGCTGATGATGGAGCCCTGGAAGGGGGCGGGGTCAGCGCGGGGAAGCCACGCCCATCTCGGGATTTGGCCCCTCCCATCAGCATGAGAAGCCACGCCTCCCAATCGCTAGCCACGCCCCCAAGACGTAAGATGAGCGCCCATTGGTGGAGAAGAACGGCAATCGCCGGTTGGCTCCACCCCCAGAGCATGCACAAGCCCCGCCCCTTTTCCATAGGAAGGGTGAGTTGTAGCCTGGGGCGGGGCTAAAGTGGGCGGGGTTTGGGTGTGGCATTGGGGTGTGGCATTGGGGGTGGCACTGAGGGTGTGACGGGGTGTGACATGCAGGGGGTGGCACTCAGGGTGGCATTTAGGGGTGACATTCAGGGGGCGTGACAGGGGTGTGACACTCAGGGGTGGCACTTGGGTGTGGCACTCAGGGTGTGACATTCAGAGGTGTGACACTCAGGGTGTGACAGGGGTGTGACATTCAGGGGTGGCACTTGGGGGTGGCACTCAGGGTGTGACATTCAGAGGTGTGACACTTAGGGGTGTGACAGGGGTGTGGCACTCAGGGGGTGACATTCAGAGGTGTGACACTTAGGGGTGTGACAGGGGTGTGACATTCAGGGGTGGCACTTGGGTGTGGCACTCAGGGTGTGACAGGGGTGTGGCACTCAGGGGGTGACATTCGGGGGTGGCACTGTCCCCTCACCTCGATGGTGCTGTCCAGGGACCCCACGCTGTTCCGCCGGCCCCGCTTGCCTGGGGGGGGGGGAGCAGTGAGGGGAGACCCCCAGGGACCCCCCCAGGACACCCCAAATCCCTCAGGACATCCCAAATCCCCCCAGGGACCCTCCCAGGACACCCCAAATCCCTCAGGACATCCCAAATCCCCCCAGGACACCCCCCCAGGGCACCCCGAATTCCCCAAAGCTCTACCAGGGCACCCCAAACCCTCCCAGAGGCCCCTAAGCTCCCCAGGTGACCCCAAAACTCCCCTGTGGTTACCCCAAAAATCCCCCCAGGGCACCCCAACTTCCCCCAAGAGCACCCAAATGTTCCCCTGGACACCCCAAATACCTCCCTGGGCACCCCAAACTCCCAAAGGGACCCCAAATTCCCCCTGTGGAGACCCCAAATTCCCTCTCAGTCCCTCCCAGTCTCCCCCAATCCCCTCCCAGTGCCCCTCCCAGCGCTCCCAGTGTCCCTCTCAGTGCCACCAGTGTCCCTCTCGATGCTCCCAGTGTCCCTCCCAGTGCCCCCAGTACCCCCCCCAGTCTCCCTCCCAGTGCTCCCAGTGCTCCCAGTGCCACCGGGGCACCCGGTACTTCTCCATCTCCTGCACCTCGGCCACGGACTCGCGCAGGTCGCTGGCGAAGCGCAGCCGGTCCTGGGGGCTCGGGGCGTTGAACACGATCAGCACCTTGCGCTCGCCCCCCGGCGCCGCCGACAGCAGCTTGATCCCAAACTGGTAATCTGGGGGGCACCGGGGGGCACCGGGGTCAGGGACACCCCCACAGGGACAGGGACACCCCCCACAGGGTCACCCCCAAAGGGACACCCAGCTTGATCCCAAACTGGGAATTTGGGGGGGCACCGGAGTCAGGGACACCCCCACAGGGACAGGGACACCCCCAAAGGAACACCCAGCTTGATCCCAAACTGAGAATCTGGGGGGGCACTGGGGTCAGGGACACCCCCACAGGGACAGGGACACCCCCAAAGGAACACCCAGCTTGATCCCAAACTGAGAATCTGGGGGGGCACTGGGGTCAGGGACACCCCCACAGGGACAGGGACACCACCACAAGGACAGGGACACCCCCACAGGGACAGGGACACCACCACAAGGACAGGGACACCCCCACAAGGACAGGGACACCACCAAAGGGACAGGGACACCCCCACAGGGTCACCAACCCCAGCTTGATCCCAAACTGGGAATTTGAGGGGACAGGGCGAGGGGGGAACACAGCAGGAGGTCCCAGAGGGTCCCGTGGGGTCTGTTGGGGTCCTATAGGGTCCCATGGGGTGCTGTGGGGTTCTTTGGGGCTCCCAGTGCTCCCAGTGCCCCTCCCAGTGCTCCCAGTGTCCCTCTCAGTGCCACCAGTACCCCCCCAGCCTCCCTCCCAGCGCTCCCAGTGCTCCCAGTGCCCCTCCCAGTGCTCCCAGTGTCCCTCTCAGTGCCACCAGTACCCCCCCAGCCTCCCTCCCAGCGCTCCCAGTGCTCCCAGTGCCCCTCCCAGTGCTCCCAGTGTCCCTCTCAGTGCCACCAGTACCCCCCCAGCCTCCCTCCCAGCGCTCCCAGTGCTCCCAGTGCCCCTCCCAGTGCTCCCAGTGTCCCTCTCAGTGCCACCAGTACCCCCCCAGCCTCCCTCCCAGCGCTCCCAGTGCTCCCAGTGCCCCTCCCAGTGCTCCCAGTGTCCCTCTCAGTGCCACCAGTACCCCCCCAGCCTCCCTCCCAGCGCTCCCAGTGCTCCCAGTGCCCCTCCCAGTGCTCCCAGTGTCCCTCTCAGTGCCACCAGTACCCCCCCAGCCTCCCTCCCAGCGCTCCCAGTGCTCCCAGTGCCCCTCCCAGCGCTCCCAGTGTCCCTCTCAGTGCCACCAGTGTCCCTCTCGATGCTCCCAGTGTCCCTCCCAGTGCCCCCAGTACCCCCCCCAGTCTCCCTCCCAGTGCTCCCAGTGCTCCCAGTGCTCACCCTCCACCCGGTACTTCTCCATCTCCTGCACCTCGGCCACGGACTCGCGCAGGTCGCTGGCGAAGCGCAGCCGGTCCTGGGGGCTCGGGGCGTTGAACACGATCAGCACCTTGCGCTCGCCCCCCGGCGCCGCCGACAGCAGCTTGATCCCAAACTGGTAATCTGGGGGGGCACGGGGGGGCACCGGAGTCAGGGACACCCCCACAGGGACAGGGACACCCCCAAAGGAACACCCAGCTTGATCCCAAACTGAGAATCTGGGGGGGCACTGGGGTCAGGGACACCCCCACAGGGACAGGGACACCACCACAAGGACAGGGACACCCCCACAGGGACAGGGACACCCTCACAGGGACAGGGACACCACCACAAGGACAGGGACACCACCAAAGGGACAGGGACACCCCCACAGGGTCACCAACCCCAGCTTGATCCCAAACTGGGAATTTGAGGGGACAGGGCGAGGGGGGAACACAGCAGGAGGTCCCAGAGGGTCCCGTGGGGTCTGTTGGGGTCCTATAGGGTCCCATGGGGTGCTGTGGGGTTCTTTGGGGTGCTGTGGGGTTCCTTGGGGTCCTATAGGGTCCCACAGGGTGCTGTAGGGTCCCATAGGTTGTTGTAGGGCCCCATGGGGTGCTGTGGGGTTCTTTGGGTACTGTACGGTCCCATAGGGTGCCACAGGGTGCTGTAGGGTTTTTTGGGGTGCTGTAGGGTCCCATGGGGTGCTGTAGGATTTTTTGGGGTGCTGTGGGGTCGCACGGGCGCCGTGGGGCTCACAGGCGTTCTGGAAGAGCTGCATGTGCATCTCCACCAGCGGGAAGCTCTGCCGGAAGCTGTAGGTCACCAGGATTGAGGAGACGCACCGGTTTCTTGCCGACGATCATGCGCTCGACAGCCTGGACCTGGGACACGTGGTCGTCGTTGGTGCGCAGCTCGCGGCTCTGGATGCGCTGGTAGATGCCCACCAGCATGTCCCGGGGGATGTCCTCGCCATTGTCCACCCCTGCACGACACCCGGCCCCGCTCTAGAACCCGTGTCACGTGGAACCACTCCAGAACCCACAACACCCCCACCCCCAAGGACCTGCAACAGCTGGCGCTGCTCTAGAACCCACAAGTCCAGATCCAGCTCCAGAACTCACTACTAATGGGTGAGAACCCAACGACATCTAGACCCCCTCTAGAACCTGCAACACCCAGCCCGACTCCATGACCTGTGACACCCAGACCCCTTCTAGAAGCCCCAACACCCAGATCCACTCTGGAACCCTTCTTGCCATTATTTACTCCAGAACCTGCAACACCTGGACCTGCTCCAGAACCTGCGACCTCTGCCCCATTCTAGAACCCACAACACCCAGTCCCACCCTTGCACTGGTGTCATCCCAGAACCCACAGCCACCAGGCCCACTAGAACCTTCAACACCCGACCCAGCCTAGAACCCACAACACCTGGGCCCACCCTCAAACTCGTAACACCTGATCCTGTTCCAGAACCTACAACTCCTGGGCCAGCTCCAGACCATCCAACACCCAGCCCTGCTCTAGAACCCACCACACCCCCACCCTGCTCTAGAACCCGTGTCCCCTCCCGGGGAACGCCGGGAGGTGTGAGGGCCCGGCAGGGCCTCACCTCGCAGGTTCTTGATGAAGTCCTCGAGCTTCATCTTGCGCTCGGCCTTGACGCTGGGGCTGTACATGTCGGTGTTGAGGAGGATGATGGCGAAGGCCAGGATGAAGATGGTGTCCGGGTTGCGGAACTGGCGCAGCAGGGCCGCGTTACACACGCAGTAGCGCTGGCTGCGGGGCGGACAACCCCCACGGCCCATGGGGTCACGGTGCCCCACGGCCGGCCCCGCCTCACGGGGTGGCCTCTGCACCCCACAGCCACCCCTAAGGGTGGGGCAGCACCCCAATGGCTGTAGGGTCACCTAGAACATGGGCCACCACCCCCATGGCCCCTCCTTGATCCACAGGGTCACCTAGAACATCACCCTGTGGTCCAGGGGCCATCCCCCAGTGTCCGCCAGTCTGTACGGTCACCTAGAACAGCCCCTGGTCCCACAGGTGCCACCAGCCCCTTGTGTCCCCCCTCAATCCATAAGGACACCTAGAACACCCCCTGGTCCCACAGGTGCCACCAGCCCCTTGTGTCCCCCCTCAACCCACAGAACTACCTAGAACATCACTCTATGGTGACCACACCACTGTGTGCTGCTGGTGGCAGGGGCAGTGCAGTGGGGACGTGGGGACACGGGGACACGGGGACATGGGGACAGGGACCCACCCCTCACCTGGAGGCCTCGATCAAGCGCTCAACCTTCTGCGCCTCCCCCTGCACCCGGATGTGGGACTGGAACTTCCGCAGAGCCTCGTCCAGCTCCATCCCGGAGAAATCCATCTCGTCCACCACGCAGCTGCCGAGACCCCGCGGCAGGGGATGGGTCTGGGGGCCGCCCCCAGCCCCGGCGCGTCCCCCCCGTCCCCAGTGTGTCCCCCCCTTACTCGAGGACGTCGCGATTGAACTGCTTCTGGCGGTTGCCCAGGAACTCGCCGATCATCTGCCGGCTCAGCCCCTTCCGCTCCAGGATGAAGTGGGCGACGCCCACGGGGGTGTCGGACAGGAACCCCCTCTCGATCAGGTACTGGATCCCCTTCTCCGGCTTCCTGCGGTGGGTGGCCGTGTGGTCAGCCATGGTGGTCACTCTGGCTGTAGAGTGACCTAGAACGTCACCTGCCCCCGGCTCTGGTCATCTATGGGGTCACCTCAGGTGACATCTGCTTCCCTAAAGGGTCACCTGGAACGCTGTCTTGAGAGCTGGGTGACCTGGAATGTCACTGTAGGGCTACCTAGAACTCCACAGTAGAGTTACCTAGAACATCACCATAGGATTACCTAGAGCTTCACTGTAGGATCACCTAGAACATCACTGTGGGGTTCTACAGGGCCACCTCAAACATCACCTTGTCCTTGCCACAGGGCCACCATGGCCATCCTGTCCTTCCCTAGGGCCACCTTGCCCTTCTCCAGGGCCACCAACGTCCCCCCCTGCTCACTATAGGCTCACCTAGAACTTCACGGTAGGGTCACCTAGAATGTCATTGTGGGGTTCTACAGGGTCACCTCAAACATCCCCCTGTCCTCGCTATAGGGTCACCTAGAACGTCACCACAGGGGTGTGGGCAAACCTCACACATCATTATGGGATCCTACAGGGTCACCTCAAACATCACCCTACCCTTGCTATAGGGTCACCTAGAACATCATCCTGCCTTTGTTATAGGCTCACCTAGAACATCACCCAGCTCTCACTATAGGGTCACCTAGAACATTCCTCCATCATCACTATAGGGTCACCTAGAACATCACCCTGCCTTTGTTATAGACTCACCTAGAACATCACCCAGCTCTCACTATAGGGTCACCTAGAACATCACCCTGCTCTCGCTATAGGGTCACCTAGAACATCACCATAGGGTCACCTGGAACATCCCCCATCCTCACTATAGGCTCACCTGGAACATCACCCTGCCCTCACCATGGCGTCACCAACAATCCCACCCCAGCCTTCCCCTGGTGACCGTGGCAGCACCGCATGGCCCCACTGCCGGACCCCCAGACCCCACCCCACATCCGGCACAGAACCCCAGCCCCCCGAGGACCCCCAGCCCCTCACTTGTTGAAGAGGTTGAGGCCAATGCGATACTGGCGCCGCTGCACCACGTCGTTGTTGAGCGCCGGCGAGTCCCAGCTCTGCCGCGGCTCCCGCTGGTACGTGGCCTTACCGGGGGCTCCGGCGGCGCCGGGGGGCTGCGGGGGGGCGGTGGGCGGCGGGG